GGGCGGCCGGGTCGGCTGGCGATCCAGGCCGAGTGCCTCCCGGGGCTTCCCCCAGGGACAACCTGCGTTTCAGAGGATGCTGGGCCCGTCGATCGCGGGGTGCCTGGAAGGAAACGCTCCGTGTCCGCTGGGCCCCAACCCTGGACGCTGCCAGTAGTTAAGAGCTGGCATTGGTTAAACGCGTTACTTTGCACTTCGCTCCTGTCGCTCCTGTCCTGTAGGCACTGGGGTCACCACTCCCACCTTACAGACGAGGAATCCGAGGCACAGCCAGGCTGCTTCCCTGCTCTAGAACCCCACGTATTATATATTCTTTCGGGAACCGGCCCTCAGGGAGCAGGGGAGGGAAGGGATGCCCTCTTCTTCAGGTTATTTTTTAAGAGAGAGATTGTTGCTATAGGGTGCTTTGTGCTTGCCAGAGAGAAAGAAAGCGAGAGATCACCCCAGCAGAAATCACCCCACATGCAATCCCTTCTCCATTCTCTTGGGATTTGGGGCATGCATGCACAGGTGCTGGTGTGTTTTAAGCTGCCGGGTCCGGGATTTGAACCGTAGTCAACTATGTGGGAGCCCACCCAGAGTACTCTCAATATAATGTAACCTGAGGACGCCCACGGCCTGCCCCACTTCTGACGCTGGGGGCCGGTCACTCTTTCTTGGGAGGAGCCAACTCTCTTGTGCATGGGGGAGGTATTAGTGGCTCTCCAGCCTCAATGGCACCTGTCTTTCTGCGAGCTGTGACAACCAGTACCATCTCTGGAGGTGGCCAAATAGGCCCTGGGGTGGTGGGGCGAGGGGACAATTGTCCTCCATTGAAAACCAGTGGAGGCGTAGTGGTTAAAGTGTGAGATCCCCACATGGTTGACGGTGTGGTTCCAGACCCGGAACCTGAGGCTTGAAAAACAGGCTGAACACGCGTGTGCCCCAAATCCTGACAGAATGAAGAACAGATTGCAGGATTTCAGGGTGGCCATTCCCCAGGGAAAGTATAAAATAAACAAATATAAAAATATATAAAATAACAAATGGAATTAAATAAATAAATCACCTCCTGGGGGGAAATGGCTAAGCTCCAATCCCTTCTCCTCCATTCTTGGGATTTGGGGCATGTACGCACACGCACCTGGCGAGATTTTCAAGCCATGAGGTCCCGAATTCGAACCAACCGTAGTGGGCCAAGTGGGAGACCAGCTGCCTTAACCACTGCACCACCCACTGGCCCTCACAGCAGAATCTTTAAAAAATCTAGCAGGTGGCATGGTACTTAGGGTGCTGGACTCCCACATGACTGTGGTTTGAGTCCCAGGGCTTGCTTTCTCAGTCGTCTTCTTTCTCTGGTCAAATTAAATAATAAAAGTAATAAAATTCAATAAATAATTATTTTAAATTATTTATTTATTTATTTATTCATGTATTTATTCTAATTTGACCAGAGAGAGACATACAGGCAAAGATAGAGAAAGTGAGAAAGCAAGCCACCAGGTCCGGGACTTGAACCGTGATCAGCCATGTGGGAGTGTCCAGCACCTTAACCACCATGCCACCTGCTGGTCCTGAAAATTTAATAAATAATTCTTCGAAAACAAAGAAAACTGGAGCTGGTAGGTGGCATGGTGGTTAATGGCGCTGGACTCCCATATGGCCAACCGTGGTTCAAGTCCTGATCTGGGGGCTTGCTTGCTCACTTTTCCGCTTCTCTCTCTGATCAAACTGGAAAATAATAATAATAGTTAAATAAAATAATAATTAAAAAAGAAAACTGAAATGGGGGAAGACCCAACCACGGTGCTGAAAGGCAGGCTCCCAGAGGGGTCCCGTCTCCCCACCTTGGAAGGGCTAGCTGGTCTCAGAACCCTGAGCTGATTCACTACTGCGCTTACACTTACAAAACCTGCACCCCATCTAGCAGCTCTCAGCACCCCCTTGTCAGGTCAACCAGTCCCAGACAGGGAGAGTCGGGGGTCTTCTGCATTATGGGGAAATGCCAAACCGCCCAGACCAGGCCACCTCTGGCTGTGGGCTTACATGGCACGTTAGGTAAAACTTCATAAAATTGAGGCCACTGAGCCTGTTTGGGTTATGACGTTAAACTGCTTCCTGTGGGTGGAGGTGAGAGTATGAAGAATCACTTATGAGGCCAGCAGGCACCATGGTGGTTAAGGCACTGGACTCCCACATGGCCAAACGCAGTTCAAGTCCCGGACCTGGCGGCTTGAAACTCACACTGGGCATATGTGCGCGCGTGTCCAAGATTCCCAGAGAATGGAGAAGGGATTGCAGCTTGGCCACCTTCCCAGGGAATTTCTCACTTTCTCTGTCTTTCCCATTAGCGCATGTGCCCTATAGCAAAAATCTAAAAAAAAAAAAAAAAAAAAAAAAGAAAAATCACTTGTTATACTGTACTTACCAAACAATTCATTTTTTAAAAAATATTTTTAATCTTATTTATTCATTTACTTTTTTTTTTCTTGAGCAAAGAGAGACAGAGAGAGAAAGTGAGAAAGCAAGCCACCAGGTCCAGGACTCGAACCATGGTTGGCCATGTGGGAATGTCCAGCGCCTTAACCACCATGCCACCTGCTGGCCCCCAGCTTTTTCTTTTTAAAAGATCCCTTTCCAGGACCAGTAGTTGGCATAATTGGCTATGTTGCTGGACTCCCATGTAGTTGACTGTAGTTCGAGTCCCAGACCTGGTGGCTTAATCTCACACCAGGCATGTGTGCGTACATGCCCAGGATCCTGAGAAGAGAATGGAGAAGGGATTGTGGTGTGGCCATCCCCCTGGGGGGAGATTTCTCGCTTTTCTGTCTCTCTGTCTCTGTCTGTCTGGCGAGCACACGTGCCCTATAGCAAAAACCTCTCCAAAAAAAAAAAAAAAAAAAAAGAAAGATCCATTTTCCTCTATTTCTTCCTCCTTTTGGGACTTTTGGGTGCACATGCACCAGGCATGTTTTTCAAACCACTGGGCCCAGGGTGTGAACCGTGTCATTGGCCACGTGGGACCCAGCTGCCTTAACCACCATGCCATAAGCTGGCCCAGTTTACTTCAATCTCAACAAAAGAAGAAACCCTCCCAGACCTCAGTCTGGAATACCCTGGACCACCGATTTAGACTGGACTAAGTTATGCCAGGGGACAACGGCCAGCCAACCCACTGGACAGGACAAGAGGGTGTCACCGGGTCACGAAGGGGTAGATGACACTGCCACAGACTCCCCTAAGGCCCAAGCAGAAGCAGTCATTCTAGATGAAGTGCTTTTTATTTGCAGACCAACCAAACATCTTTAATATAAAAACCCTTTAATATATAAACTGCAGCCACAAAACATCACCCACGCAGCAGCACAGGGACCAGGCCTGGGGGGGGGTCAGAGAGAGATTTTCAAGGGCCCCACTGCCTCCCTTGCCTGAAGCACCCTGCGGCAGGTCCAGGCAGCCAGAGGTTCAGGGGCCCTGATGCCCACCCTGGGACAGGCTGAGCTCAGCAGACCCCTCCAACAGGCCCTCGCCCCACACGGCAGCCTCTGGGCAAAGCCAGATCCCGTTGGTAACGGGAAGGTGGTGACTGAGGAGGGGTACCCCCTCTTCAGCTTTCCATTGCTCACACTGTAAGGAACAAGCTTTTTCCAGGGGCTGCTAGATTGAAAAGGCTTAAATCTCCCCCTGGGAGGGGGACTGAAATGGTATGCGAGTCCCTCTCTAAGGATTCCTTGCTGGGGTCACCAGTTGGGGGGCGGGTGATCTGCTGGGTATTTGGAAGGGAGGATGACACATTTTGACCCAAGAGGGTCAAGAGCCTTGCTCGGTGCAAAATGAGCCTTGGAGCAGGTGGGGGAGGTTGGTGGAGAGACCTCCAGGCCAACGGTACCAGGGCCCACAGTGGCCGCAGGTGGACGGGGGTGGGGGGAGGAAAAAGGACACAGGAAGCAATAGTAAAAATGGAAGTACCTGCTTCTTACAGACCCGTGAGGTGATCCTTCCAGGCCAGGGCAGAGGGGAGCCCCAAGGCCTGGTCTCTCCTCGGGGCCACGTCTGACAAGCCTGGAGAAAGTCAATGCTCCTCGAGTCCTCTGGGTGGCCTGTACGCAGCCCTCTGGCAGGCCTGGCCGAGGTCCCGGCCTGGCATTCCCAGTTAGATGCAGTCCATGGAGTTCTCAGGGAGGAGTCCAGCGATGGATCCGGAGAGGCCCAGGCCCTTGACAGGCGTGCAGCTGAGGGACAGGCCGCTCCCCAGGGTGGAGTCCTGGTTCTCCATGGCCTCCAGACTGTCCATGTTGTCCCAGTTGATGTGGAAGCGGGTCACCCGGGGGTTAGAGGCCAAGATGTTCCTTTGGAGCTGGGCGGGAGAAAGGAAGGTTGATCGCTGTCCATGTGCCCTGTCATCACTCCCTAGGGCCAGGACACCCCCAGTCCCCGCCTGGAGCCCAGGAAGGCCAGCTTGTGCTTATTCAATCTCCACCAGCAACTATCAACTCTGTCTGCAACTCCAGGGAGCGCCTAGGCCCCCTGATTGTGGGCCAAGTCCTATCTAATCTCCATTCCGTAAGGCCCGTCTTGAAAAACAAAGCCCTCTCTCTGTCCCGAGAACCAAGCGGGACTTGAAAACCTTAAGAAGTGACCTTGACTCCCAATTCTAGCAGCCCCACGTGCAAACAGGCTGCTGCGTGAGAAACCGGAAGTGCAGAGACAGGCCCCACCTGCGAGAAGTCCGGCTTCAGGGGTGGGTTTTCCCGCAGCTCGGGGTTCGGGTACTCGTTGTTGACGTAGTAGCCCACGCGGATGAACTCCTGCCCATGGTAGGTGCAGGTGATGAGGACCACCGTGACACCCACGGCGTCGCTCTCGGGGATGAGGGATGGGTTGGGGGCGTCGGCCTAGGGAGACACGTACAGCCCTGAGCACCTCCACAGTCAGGGCTCGTCGTCATTAATACAAACATTCCCAGAACGCATGCATTTTGAAAAAAATCTCCAGGGGCCGGCAGGTGGCGTGGTGGCCGAGGAGCTGGACTCCCACATGGCTGGCCACGGTTCGAGTCCCAGACCTGGTGGTTTGCTTTCTCACTTTCTCTTTCTCTCTCTGGTCAAATGAAAAATAATAATGATTGGGACCAGCAGTTAGAGTAATGGCTATGTCGCTGGACTCCCACGTAGTCAACCGCGGTTCGAGTCCCCGACCTGGTGGCTTAAACTCACACCCGGCGCGTGTGTGCCCAAATTCCCAACAGGAGAATGGAGAAGGGATTGCAGTGTGGTCATCCCCCCGGAAGGTGATTTCTCGCTTTCTGTCTCTGTCTCTCTCTGTCTGGCGAGCGCACGCGCCCTATAGCAGAAACCTATCCAAAAAAAAAAAGGTAATGAAAATAATTAAACAAATAATTCTTTTTTTTTTTTTGGTGGGATGGGGGAGAGCTTTTTGCTATAGGGTACATGCACATACCAGAAAGACAGAGACAGAGAAACAGAAAGCGAGAAATCACCCCCAGGGGGGATGGCCATGCCACAGTCCCTTCTCCTCTCAGGATCTTGGGCACACACGCACCGGGCATGAGTTTAAGCCACCGGGTCTGGGACTCGAACCACAGTCAGCTAAATGGGAGTCCAGCGACATAGCCATTATACCATATGCTGGCCCCAACAAATAATTCTTTAAAAGAAATTTTTTCTATAGGACAAATACATTTGCCAGGGAGAGAAAAGTGAGAAATCACTCCCCTAGGAGGGATGGCCACGCCACAGTCTCTTCTCCTGTATTCTCTTAGGATTTCTAGGCATATACACACACATGCTCCTGGTAGGTTTTTTTTTTTCTTTTTAACCACTGTGTCTGAGACTTGAACTGGACAGTCGGCCATATGCAATCCAGCACCTTACCCTCCATGTCACCTACGGGCCCTATTTCCCTACGTGTGAAGTGTTACGTGTAACTCCAATCCCTATGCCTCTAGGGCCTCCTGTGGCCATGTGCAGACATGCACAGAGCGAGGCCCTGGCTCCTCTTACTGTGACCAAGTGTCCCTTTTTTATAACTGCCAGAGGGTACATGCACTTGGGGTGGGGGGGACGGGGAGAAAGCACCCCCATGGGCACAGTCACACCACAATCCCCTCCACACCTCTCTCTCCTTTTGGGATTTAGGGCAGCCGCTGGAGCTGCAATTTTTTAATAAAAGTATTATTTATTTATTCATTCATTTTAATTTGACCAGAGAGAGACACAGAGAGAGGGAAAGTGAGAGAGCAAGCCACCAGGTCTGGGACTCAAACTGTGGTTGTCCAAGTAGAGTCCAGGGCCTTCACCACCACACCACCTGCTGGCCCTGGAGTGGGATTTGAACCAGTCAGCCATGTGGGATCTGGCTTCCTTAACCACTAGGCTATAGGGCTGACTCAAGGCCCTCCTTTTTTGTTTGTTTGTTTTAGGGTATGTATGCTCCCCGGGGAGAGAAAGCTTCTCCCAGAAGGAATGGCCACACCATAATCCCTTCTCCATCCTCCTTTTGAGTTTTTGGGTGTGCATGTACATGAGCCCGGCATGTTCTCCAAGCCACCACGTCCGTGCCCAGGACTTGAACCGTGCAGTTGGCCACGTGGGACCCAGCCGCCTTAATCACTACGCCACTTCCTGGCCTGGCCTAGTCTTACCTGAAAGACGAACATGTGTCTCCCTGCGGGTACGGGGCCCACCAGCACCGAGTCTAGGATCTGATCGAACTCCTCGCTCTCGGCTGAGCCGACGTATATGATCTTCCACTCCAGGTCTGCAGGGACAGGGGCGGGGGGACGTTAAGGACCTGAACTAGCTCAGTGAGGGAAAGGTGTCCGTGGGTTAGCCCCGGACAGGTCATTAGGTACTAAAAGGTCTTTCTTTCCACCTGCACCTGCCCTCCACCTGGTGCCACCATCCTGAACGCTGGGGTGGGCGTGAGGTTCTACGTCCGGTGGGCAACTGTCTCCTGTGGGCCTCGCTCCGCCAGGCGACCTTGACCATACGTCTGGGGACACTCGGGCCTCTCGGAGCCTGAGAGTGAACCGTATGGCAGAGGCTGAATTAAGACCCACGTGACGCAGGCGTGCTGAGGAGGGAGCTGCAGGGAGTCGGGCCATGTCGGGGCCCTGCCCACTGGGTGCTGGGAGAGGAAACAGCATCCTTTCACACACAGGGACGGCTGCCACTGGACGGAGGAGATCCCTCGACAACTGGGGCAAGGCGGCAGATTCCAGGGGAGCGGGAGAGCCAGCCGGCAGGAGGGAGGGAGGAGGTGAAGCTGCTGGGGGATGCCATCCTTGGGTCTTCCAGATCTGGCCTCAAGTCATGCCCCCTTGGGGACATGGAGGCCCCAGGGGCTGAGGCAAATACAGCATCCCGGGGACGCTCCTCTAAGTCCTACGTCCCTGCACCCCCTCTAGCAGGGGGACCCCCATCCCTGATCGTGCTGAGACCAGATGAAAGGGAAAGTGCTGAAGGAGACCCTGCCCGTCAATCACACCCGTGTCCAGTGACCACAGCCTTCTGCAGGACGGCCAAGTGAACCAGGAGCAAGGTCACGCCAGTGCAGGGGAAGCTTGGCAGGGGACCCGCCACTTATTTTAGGTTCTCTGGAATTACACAACCCGCGGCCCCGGCAGCTGAGGGGAAGTTTCACAAGCTGTGATTGTCACAGGGAGCGAACTCTCTTGGAAGCCGCCCTGCTCCTTGGTCGGGTGTCCCACGAGAGCCTCCAACTTGGGAGGCACAGCGACGCCGGGCCTCCGGGCTGCAGGGTCTGTCACCTGAGCCCTGCCTGGAGACACCTGCTTCCTGTCCCCTGCTGTTCCACCCAGGAACCCAAGTAGGTCTGGTGGGATACAGGTGACCATTCGAGTCAAGGCGGCAGTGCAACTCCGGCCTCTTATTTGCAAGGAGGAAGTTCAGGTCATTGTATTTTTTAAATTTTTTTTAGGTTTTGCTCTAGGGCAGGGGGCTCACTAGAGGGAAGAGAGAGAGAGAGACTAAGAAAGTGAGAAAGCATGCCCCGGTTGAGGGAGGAATGGCCACGCCGCAATCCCTTCTCTTCCATTCTCCTCTTGGGATTACTGGCACGCACGCATAGGCACCTGGCTTTCTTTCTTTCTTTCTTTCTTTTTTTTTTTAAGAGGTTTTGCTACAGGGCGCATGCACCTGCCAGAGAGACAAAGAGAGACAGAGAGACAGAAAGCGAGAAATCACCCTCCAGGGGGGATGGCCACGCCGCAATCCCTTCTCCTCCATTCTCCTCTGGGGATCTTGGGCACGCACGCACACGTTTAAGCCACCGGGTCCAGGACTCGAACCGCGGTCAACTATATGGGAGTCCAGCGACACAGCCACTATGCCAACTGCTGGTTCCCTCATTCGTTTATTTCTGAGAGTTGGAAAGAGAGACAAGTAGTCCCCACAGGGTCCTCATGCCACATCTCCTCCGAGTCTCAGCCAGTCTGGAGCACCCGGCATGTACGTGGAGGTTCTGGGACCTGAACCCAAGACCTTCCCATGGGAGGTCAAGCTGAGTCATCACTATGCCACCTGGTCCCTATTGATTTTTTGTTTCCAGTGGAGGTACACCAGGGTAAAGTTTTTTGGAAGAATGGAAACACAAGGTAGGCCCGCCCTCAGCTTCCTTACACGGCCCGGGCACTTTGAGGTTGTTGCCTTCCGCACCCCCAGCCCCCATAACCAGATGGGTGTGCAGACAAAAAGGAGAATGAGGGGCCAGCAGGTGGTATGGAGGTTAAGGTGGCTGGATCCCATGTGGTTGATTATGTGGTTCAATTCCCGGATTGGGAGGCTTAAAAAAAAAAAAAAAAAATCAAGGCCGGCAGGTGGCGTGGTGGTTAAAGGTGCTGGATTACCATCCGGCCAACTGCGGTTCGAATCCTGGACCTGGTAGCTTGCTTTCTCACTTTCGCTCTCTGTCCCTCTCTGGTCAAAATGAAATATACAAATAAATAAATAAATGAAGTTAAGTGAAAAAAAAAAAAAAATCACATTGGGTAGGTGCCACCAGGTCGTGTAGCAGTTAGGCACTTAACTCTCACGTGGTTGACAGTGGTTTGAGTCCCAGACTCGGCAGCTTGAAATTCACGCCAGGCACATGTCTTGTGCATGCATGCCAAAATCCTGAAAGAAGAAGTCACACTGCAATCCTTCTCCCCCATCTCCTCCTCCTTTCGCGATTTTGGACATAGACATAGGCACGCATATGCCCCAGGCATGTTTTTCAAGACACCGGGGCTGGGGATTCGAACTGTGGGTCGTCATCCATGTGGAATCTGACTCCATAGCCACTAGGCCACAGGGGCCACTCCTTCTTAGATGATCTTCTTTCTGAACTTTTCTTTTTAAATTAGAAATGGGATTATCAGTCACCAACACAGCTCAAACTCAAATATAGGACACTGGGGCCGGGGCAGGTGGCGTGGTGTTTCAAGGTGCTGGATTCCCACGTGGCCAACTACGGTTTGAGTCCCAGACCTGGAGGTTTGCTTTCTTGCTTTTCTTCTCTCTTTCTCGTCAAATTAAAAAATAACAAATGGAATTAAATAAATAAATAAATCTTAAAATACACACACACACACACACACACGGCACAATTATACACATGTAACCTGTATACCCAACCTCCCGAGCAGTACCCCTGGGTAACTCAAACACATTACATTTTCCTCTATGCCTTAACATCATAGGCTGAGACACACCTCCATCAGTCTGAAAACAAAACCACAACCAATCGGATGATTGAAGACACGGTGGGGGTGGGACCTGCAGGAGGCGCAGTGGTTAAGGCGCTGAACTCCCACATGGCCAACCACAGTTTGAGTCCTGGACCTGGTGGCTTGCTTTCTCACTTTCCCTTTCTCTCTCTGGTCAAATTAAATAATAACAAATAAAAATGAACCCCCCTCCCCCCCCCAAAAAAAAGGCTCACGTAGAGACCAGCAGATGGCGTATGGTTACATTGCTGGGTTCCCATGTAGTCAACCAGAGTTTGAGTCTCAGACTTGGCAGCTTGAAGCCCGTAATGGGCACATGTGTGTGTAAGCCCAAGATCTGGAGAGGTAAAATAGAGGCGAGGAGATTACCCCTCCTGTGGGCAATTTCTCACTTTGTCTCTGGCAAGCGCACAAACCCTATAGCAAACATTTATCCAAAAAAAAAAAAAAAAAAAAGGCATGCAAAATGATTACAGTTGAACTATCTGAAAATCTGTTTCCTGCCTCTTTTTTCCCCCTTTCCTTCTGAATGCATCTCGTGGGCCTCTTTTCTGTTTATCATTTTGCCTCTGTTCATAACGGCATGGATGAACCCAGCTCAGCCCATCTGGCTTCTATGACTAATTCAACCTGTGTCTGCTGAATTCCTCAACGAGATGTGGCAAGCATTCACACCTCATGTGCTAAATGCAGACCTATATGCCACAGAGGTATCGACTTCTAGATGCTGAGGGGGAAAAAAAGAGCCCAAGGGACTTGGCACGTGGGGAAACGGGATCCCCTGATTGGGAGCTTTGTCAAGATTTTCAGTTGAGGGACCAGCAGTTAGCGTAAGGGCTATGTCGCTGGACTCCCACGTAGTCAACCATGGTTTGAGTCCCAGACCTGCGCGTGTGTGCGTGCGTGCCCAAGATCCTGAGAGGAGAATGGAGAAGGGATTGCGGCGTGGCCATCCCCCCTGGAGGGTGACTTCTCACTTTCTGTCTCCCTGTCTCTGTCTTTCTGGCGAGCGCACGCGCCCTACAGCAAAAACCTCTCCACCCCGACCCTCCCCCCCAAAATTCAGCAGGTTGACAAGAGCCTTTCCTGCTCTTAAATCTATCAGTAAAGTACCAGGGCAGCGGCTGCCCAGGAATAACAGTACTAGATACTGAGCGCACAACCATTTTTAAATACAAGGGGCACAAACAGGCCGATGGAAACCTGATCTCCCGCCATCTGGGAACTCTGAATCCCTTAACCTATTAGCTGCTTACGGCTCTTCCTGGCTTTTAAATTAAATCTTATTCCACAGCGTCATTCTACACTTTATTTATTTATTTACACCCCCTTCGGTTCCAGAAAGGATTTAACTCGGCTTATTATTCTATAGTTAGTCACTAGTAGACTACCTAGTTTAAAAACGAATGAGCACCAGCAGGTGGCGTAGTGGTTAAGGTGCTGGCCTCCCATATGGTCGACAGTAGTCTGAGTGGTGGACCCAGAGGTTTGGAGGTTTGAAACTCGCGCCAGGAGCATGTGCTTGTGTGCCCAAAATCCCAGGAGAAGGGATTGCGGCGTGGCCATCCCCTGTGGGTAGGTGACTTCCTACTTTTTCTCTGTGTATCTCTGGCAAGTGCACACATTTTATAGCAAAAATCTCTAAAACTAAATAAATCAAAGTTAAAAAAAAAAAAATAGAGGGGCCAGCAGTTGGCGTAATGGCTACGTCGCTGGATTCCCACGTAGTCGACTGCAGTTCGAGTTCTGGACCCAGTGGCTTAAACTCACGCCGGGCGCGTGTGCGTGCGTGCCCAAGATCCCGAGAGGAGAAAGGAGGAGAAGAGATTGCGGCGTGACCATCCCCCCTGGCTTTCTGTGTCTCTGTCTCTCTCTCTCTCTGTCTTTCTGGCGAGCACATACACCCTATAGTAAAAACTTTTCCAAAGCAAAAGGAATGAGAGATGGGCCGCTGGGTATTACGGTGGCTGGACCTGGAGGCTTGAAAAATCAAGCTAGGGGCACCAGCAGTTGGCTTCATGGCTATGTCACTAGACTCCCATGTAGTTGACCTGGACCCAGGGGCTTAAAGTCACTCCGGGTGCATGTGCGTGCATGCCCAAGATCCCAAGAGAATGAAGGAGAAGGGATTGCGGTGTGGCCATACCCCCGGGGGTGATGTCTCACTTTCTGTCTCTCTGCCTCTGTCTTTCAGGTGAGCGCATGCGCTCTACAGCAAAAACCTCTCCAAAATAAAAATAAAAAAAAAAAAAAGAAAAAAGGGAAAGAAAAAGCAAGCTAGGTGTCTATGTGTGTATGACCCACACCTTGAGAGGAGATGGGACTGCAGAGTGGTCATCCTTCCTGGGGAACGATTTCTCACTTTCCCTCTCTCTTTCTCACTCCGTGGTAGGTGCATATGCCCTATGGCCAAAACCTTAAAAAAAGAAAATAAAAGAGAAACCGAGGGCAGACGGGTGCATCAGTTAACACAAGTGTGCAGACACTGCCCTGAATCAGCCCCCAGATATTCCAATTTTCCTCCTGCCATCAAGAGGCACCACACACCCAGGACTCACACCTCATGGACCTCCACCGCCTCACCTGCAGCTTCTTACTCTTTTTTCTTTTTTAAAGATTTTATTTAACTTTATTTATTTATTTACATTTGACCAGTGAGGGACAGTGTGTGTGGGGGTGAGAGAGAGAGAGAAAGAGAGAAAGTGAGAAAGCAAGCCGCAAGGTCCGGGACTAGAACCGTGGTTGGCCATGTGGGAATCCAGTGCCCTCAACCACCATGCCACCTGCTGGCCCTCTTTATTTAAAAAAAGTATATTTTATTTAACTTTATGCATCATCATCATCATTATTATTTTTTAATTTGACCAGAGAGAGAGAGAGAAACCAAGCTGTCAGGTCCTGGACTTGAACCACGGTCACTTCATGTGGGGGTCAGCGCCTTAACCACCAAGCCATCCTCTGCTCTTTTAACCACCCAGTGGAAAAAAATGGCCTAATGGAGTACTTCCTCCCGAAAGCGGGACTTGCCCGTGAGTGGTGCCAAGGCTCCCTGGGTGACCTTAGATTTCAGATCTAAGACCTTTACTTGAAAGGTCTCTGTGGCTCTTCTCTCATCTGTGAGATGAGAGCCAGGTCCACCTTTATGTCGCACAGATGAACAAGGACATCCGGGAAAGCACCTTGGAAAAGATGCATAGGAGGCTGGGACCTCCCGCGGAATGATTGAAGCTGGATTCCCCCCAAGGCCAGGGCCCAGTCCACCACCTCCCCGGGACTAGGTCAGCCCATCAAAAGCAGTGGAACAACCGCCGTATTTAAGTCCGCTAGAACCTGGTGCGCCAAGCTTGGGTAGCAGCCTGTGCTATGCCACCTGTCACGTGAGTGTGTCAACCCAGAGGCAGAGAGAAGACGGGAGACCAAGTTACCCTCCGTGGCTGGAGCTAGAAGCCAGGCCATCTCTTCCCCGGGGACGGCTCAGTCTTAGGGGAGTCAATCGCAAACTAAGGAGGGCAGCCAGATTCTAGAATATGCACCCTGGGGTAGCACGCTAGCAACAGTTGTTGCAGGTGGGGTGGCTTAATTGTCAGCCGACTCGGGAAGGGGCTGATTAGGAGACAGATGGGAGCGGATGGGGTCTTGCCAAGGTCAGGGGTTTGCACAGGGGAAAAAGGGGAGACCCAAAGAGAGGATCCCTAGGGGGGGAGGGGGAGGAATCGGGAGGGAGCTTGAGGGAGAGGTCCCCGCGGAGAAAATGACAATAAAAGGGGGGCTGGGGTTCCCACTGCGAAAACATGGGAGAGGGCTGAAGGCTGGGGTCTCCATAAGGAAACAGGGAGACTGGGAACGTCTCAACACGGGGGAGGGAGGATGGGCACGCAGTCTCGGGACGAGAGGTTGGGGGGGGGAGCAGAGTGGGTGGCTGGAACTGGGGGCTTGCCACGAGAAAGACGGGGGGGGCTGGGGGGTCCCGCAAGTTAA